GGCCAGTGCCTGAATACAGAACAGTTGCTTCAACCTGTCATTTTACACGTGAGGAATCTGAGGCTTAAAGAGGGAGATGGATTGTGTGATGGATGAGTGAGGAATCACTTGCCCCCTCCCTGATGACAGACAGCCATCTGTGTGAGGGGATGGCCAAAGTGGTAAAGTCCCACTAATCCCTCAAAGTCACAGAAATGGGCCCAGAAATGGAGAAGGGATGGCTTGGAATCCAGGCCTGAGCCAAGGACATTATAAATATTCCCTCCTCAACATCTGGGAATGCCAGGGACTCCTGATTCCTCTAAACCCCCTCCCTACCTTATCCATTCCTAGTCTTCATCCTATTCAAATGGATCCTGAGCCCAGGCAATCAGACAAGAGGTCCTGTTCATCCCTGGGTGTATGTGAAGTGTTACCTGGCACGACCTTCAGGAGCCCCCAGGCAACATAGGAGGTACAAGGGGGTTCAAAATGGCAGATCTGAGTACAGATCCAGCTGCACCCCCAAAACTGCCTGATCATCAGGCTCAGCTGGGGACAGAGAGCAGGGATGAGAGCAGCCTGGGGCAAGGAACGATGACTCCTTAACTCTCAGCTTTCAAATTTGGGTAACTCTGGGCTCATGGTACCCTATAAGAGAAGTACCCTCAAGGGAGGTGCCCTTTCCCCAGCCAGCAGAGCTTTGGGTCCCCTTCAGACTCACTTCTCCTGGTCACAGTGGAAGGAGAAGGTGGCTGAATACCCTCTCCCAGGGGACACATGCTACTCTCTGAGCTCTGAGCCAGGATTGCTATCCTGGGTAAAGGTTTTCAAAACTCCAGGAGGCCTTGGAGAACCATCATCTCATCATAAGCATGACGATCTCTCAGCAGAGAGATGAGGGAGGATGGCTGCCCCATGACAAAGCAGTACGTTTTTAAATTTCCCACTTAAAGGAAGGAAGGGAGGGAGGGAGAGAGAGAAGGAGAGAGAAAAAAAATGAAAGAGAGAGAGGAAGGAAGGAAGGAAGGAGGGTAGGAAGGAAGGTAGCCGCATTTGGGGATTGCGCGTGTGTGCGTGCGTGTGCGTGCGCGTGCGTGTATTTTTTTGACGCATTTGTTCCTAGTAGCAGCTGTCACCAAGTAAGCACCTACCATGTGCCAGGCATCGTATTCTGCTTTACACACAGGATCTGATTTAACCATCACAAACCCCTTTAGTAATAGCTACTATTATTATTCCCGTCTTGCAGGTTAGCAAACTGTAGGTCAGAGAAGTTGAATAACTCGTCCTAACCTATAAGGCAAAAAAACAGCATATTCAAAATTTGAACCCTTGGCTGTCTGGCTCCCAAGGGTATACCCATTGCACTAGCTGCTCTGCTGTCCTACCTAGTCCTCCTTCCAGCCTTGCGGCAGATTCTTATCACTGTCCCCCGCAGGACAGATGGAGCTCTGAGCCTCAGTAAAGCTGACGATGTTACTGTCTGTAGAAGCAGGGAGAAGGCAGCCATTGTCTCATCCATTTGTTAAGGGGCAGTGTTGAGCTTAAGCACAGAGGCCCAGGAAGAAGGAAGGAATTCAGATTGAGGCTTGGATTCTCGCCAGCTGGGTGACCTGGGACCGCTACTCACCTGTTTTAGCTTCAACCCCTTAAAATGGGGAGGAATATCTAGTCTGAGGGCAATTGTGAGGATCGTACAAGATAATGTGTGTGAGGTGTTGAGCACAGGACAAGCGTCATTACTTAAAGCTCCTCTGCCTCTGGCTCAGAGGTTCACATTTTGTTCAGATGCGCAATAAATTATTCTAGCTAATTATATAGACCAGTGCTTCTGAACCTGGTTGATGTCAGAATTACCAACAAAAGTATAAAAGCTTGGGCCCCACTGCAGGAGGTTTTGAATTAGGAGGAGTGGGTGGGGCTTGGACCTTTTTATCTTTAATAAATTCTCAGGTAATGCTAATGTACAGCCAGGTTTGGGGGAACCAATCTACTGGCATAGACATCTCAGCCACATTGGGGAAGGGATTCAGGTTGGTTCCCTCTCCAAAACCCTTTCTCCCCTGTCTTCTCCTGACCAATGCCCCATTCCCCCACCTCCTCCCCACTGGCTTCCCTCCCCAAGTCAAGGTCTGTATGGCATGGCAGTGAGTCAGTGACACTCAGTGTCCCATGAAGCCTGTCTTTCCAGAGGCTAGGGAACCCAGGATGGGGCTGGAGAACAGGATGCCAGGGTTTCTGCTCTGGATTTGCCCCCTTGTTACTCACTGGTGGCCCAGGGCCAGTGAGTCTTTAAGCCTCAGTTTGCTCATGGCCCATAGACAGTTGGGGAAATTGGAGTGCCTGTTTGGACTCTGATTCCTTAGGGGTATATCCCTGGCACTTGACAGCCAGAGAGCAGGGGGGTGGTTACATGAAAAAATCCTGCATTATTGTGCTTTCCCATCACCATCTCACAGCGATAGGAAATAAACTGCAGCATCTACTTCAGCCTGTAATGTCCTCTGTTCTCTGTCCCTAGCCTTTGCTTCAAGGTTATCTTATATGCCACCTTGCTTTCTGGCCTTCTTGCTGTTCCCTGAAAGCTCCAAGTTTGTTCCCACTTCAGGTTTTGCACTTACGTCCATGGCTTGGAATGTTTTTGCAGTGGATGACCACAAGTCTGTTTCCTTCTTTTTATTCAGGGCTCAGCTTACATGTCACCTGCTCAGAGACGAGTTTGCTGATCAGTCACTAAACCTAAAGTATCATCCCAAGCACTGGGACACACCACCCTACAGAATATCATTGCATTTGAGCATTCACTGTAGCTGTTTTTCCTTTTTTTTAATTTACTTAATATGTTGCCTGTTTCCCTTTCAGTAGAATGGAAGCGTCATGAAAGCACATTCTTGGTCGCCTTGTTTATTGCTGTGTCCCTTGTGCCTGAAAAGCATTCATGTATGTTTGTGGAGTAAATAAGCTAATGAAATGACCCCAGCCTGAATTGTGATTTATTTTCTTGGTCAGAGGACACCCCAGATTCTGAGAGGGGGAAGTGACTGTCCCAAAAGCATTCCAGGCCTTTTGTCTTCTTTTTCCAGGCCCTTCCCGTAAAACCTGGCTGACACACGAACTGAGGTGGGTGAGGCTCCTAGGTGTGATGAAAGCTTGGAGTTGCCCCATGAATGGTGAGGCTAAGGCTGATGTGGAGGTGAGAAGGCGGAAAGATGGAGCACACAAAGGGAGAGGCAGGTTGGGACAGGAGAGCAGGGTGTGAACCTGGCGGCAGGTCGGGGAAAGGGGTGACTTGGCTGTGTGTCAGGAAGTGTTCCCTCCACCCTTCCCTGGGGAGAGCCCTGACCTCAAAGTGGTTTTGTCTGGGGGAAGGAGGTGGTCAGGCAGTTGCTGAGGGAGAACAAAGGTGTGGCCTGGGTGGTCACCATCCACTGAGGTACTAGTGATCACCCAAAAGAATAATCCCACGATGGCACTTGGCCAAATAGGTGACAGGTGAGCTTCCGCCCGAAACCAGTCCAACTGACAACATATAGCCTCAGACCTGGCAGGAAGCGAAAGAAGAGAAGCCTCCAAGGGAATGGAGTAGTCAAGGTAGAATGCTTAGTGATAATAAGATAATAGGTCACATTTATTGAGAGCTTATAATATGCCTGGCACTGTACTAATTGCTTTCTTATACGAGTTTCCTCATTCAATCTTCAAAAAGCTCTCTACAAAGGAGGCCCTATTATTATTTGTTATTTCCATTTGAGAGATTTGGAAGCTGAGGCTCAGTGAAATTAAATATCTTGTTCAAGGTCACTCAATAAGTAGCAAGGTCTGGATTCCAACTTAGATATGTAGTAATTCCAGTGGACTATGGAAACCTAGGCCTGGGAAGGGTTGCTAGGAGCAAGTCAAGAGGGCAGACCCCTGCAAAAGTGGGGATGGAGAGAGACAGTGGGAAAGCCTGTGTATAAATAGGAGGCCTGTTTTTATCTGTACACATGGGCGGAATCAGGCAAGCAACTCTATTTGGCACAATTTGAGGGCTCTGAATGCCAACCCAGCCCTGTGTCATACAACTCCCTCCCCAGCATGTCTCTGGGAGCTGAAATATCTACTGAGAGAGTCATTTCTTTGGGTCAGGACACTGACAGCAGAGGAGCCTTGTAAAAATACCTAGGTTGGAGGAGAAACACATCAATCTCCTGGCACCTGTTGAACATAGCAACCTAGGCTAGCCAGCTGGCTCCCACGGAAGAGGGTCTCAGTTTCCACGCTGGGGAAGAAGGTGGGGTTCCAAGACAAGGAATAGTATGAGGCTTGTTGCACAACCATTGTCTCTCCGATCCCAGAAGCCTGGGAATTATAATCCATAGCTCAAAAATCTTAATGAAGACTATGTCCCCTGGGAGAAAGATGGAGGGAAGCCACTCCAGCAGCTGGAAGAATACTAACTTCCTTTGCTTTTGCTGGATTGATACCAAGTGCCTGCAACTGCAACTCTGGTTACTTTGGGCTCATGAGACCTGCTGGCATTCATGTGTCTAATTTTTTTTTATGTGCCTAATTTTTAAATGATATATGAATTAATTATGATTTACTATTTGCTGTGTTACTAGGCAAAGACAGGAGTGTTACCCTTCAGAAGGTGACATGGGTGCAGATCCCTGGTGTGGAGCAGGGATGGGTGGAGGGACCAGGCCTGGAAGAGGGGAAGGAACGAGTGGTGTCCAAGGGCAGAGCTCAGCGTGCGACAAGCGTTTGGGGAAAGGTAGGAACTGGTCCCCGCCACCTGCCGGTCAGCAGCCCTTCCCACAGTCAGGCGGCGGCGGCCCTGGCCTGGTCCCAAAATATGTCAGCGCCGCCCCCTACTCCCGCCCCCTTCCCCCGCCGCGCCCGCGGAGTGGGGGGCTGCGGGGGCTGCGCGGCGGGCGCCGGGAGCCGGGCGAGCGGCCCAGCGCGGGAGGGGGGAGGGGGCGGGGCGGGGCGGGGCTTCGGCGCCTCCCGGAGCCTTATTCCCAGCCGCGCGCGGGGGAGCCTTCAGTCGACCGAGGGACCTGCGGGCTACGCTCGGCTGGCGGGCCTGACCGAGACGCCAGGGGCTTGGGCGGGTGGACGGACAGTGTGAGCAGACAGACGCCCAGTGGCCGCCGGTTCCACGCAGGTCCCAGCTAGGCTTGCATCCAGAGGCCGGCAGCAGACCGAAAGCGGCCGAATCTCCTGCGCTCCGCCCGCCGCGGCTCCGGTGCCAGCGCCCGGTGGCCGCCGCCTCCTAAGTGATTGCTGCTTCGCCGCCTCCTCCGGGTCCAGGACCATGAAGCTGCTGCCGTCGGTGGTGCTGAAGCTCTTTCTGGCTGCAGGTGAGAGGGCTGCCGACGCCCCCGGAGTTCCGGGGGGGGGTTGGGGACACTGTGCTGGGGGGCACAGGGGAAGGTCGCTACAGCGACCCCAGCGCGGGCCACTTGGTGGGGCCCGTGCTCACTGGGTGCGGGCGGGCGCCAGCATTGATGCGTGGCGACCGGGGGTCTGGAGAGGGGGTCTGATGCGGCCTCGCCCCTCACCCGCAGTGCTCTCGGCGTTGGTGACTGGCGAGAGCCTGGAGCGGCTTCGGAGAGGGCTGGCAGCTGGAACCGGCAACCTGGACTCTCCCACCGAATCTACAGACCAGCTACTGGCCCCGGAAGGCGGCCGGGGCAGGGAAGTCCTGAACTTAGAAGAGACAGACCTGGACCTTTTAAGAGGTGGGTGTGAGGGCTGCCCATCCTCGACCCCGCAGTGGGCAATTGAAGAATAAGTGGACTGAGGATTCCTGCCGTTTGGGCACACTTGCCGGTTGGGGGTATTCGTGGAGGACTTCAAGGAAAAGCTGCTGAGCCTGACAAGCTTACTCAGGGACCTGAAATGTGGGTCCCACTGACTTTCTTGCTGTTGAGTCTCGCATGTCCAGCTGCTGCCCTTCTGGGTAGTTTAGAGCCTAGGGAGAAGGCAAGGTGTCTGGGGTCTGGTACATTCCCCTGGGGTAAGCTGGAGTAAGGAACAAGGAATGGTTAGGATGCTTTCCGTATTGTTTCTATATAACAATGGGTGCAAGTCTTAATTCCTCTATCAAATGACCATTATGTATAAAATGACAGATGTGGAGAGCCTAGGAACATAGTAGCTGTGCAGTCTTCTCCATCCACCTGTCTCCAGGTTGGAGAAACAGAGGGGAATGAGGAACTCTTGGTCCCCCAGGTGAGGCCAGCACCTCCTGGGGAGCCTATGAGCGGTGGGCACAGTGTCCCTAGGGAGGTATAATGAAATGGCATGTGTCTACACATCCTACCCAAAGCCTAGAGACTTCTGAGCACCCTGAGTGCCTGAGAGAGACTCCGAGGGATGAAGGGCCAGGTGGGATCCTCCAACCAGCAGATATAGCTGTGGCTGAGTACAGGCACAGGGCAGAGTCCAGAGCCTCCAGCATTGACCATTTGCCTGCCTCCAGCCACCTGCCGTGATTCTTGAGGGTGGAGCAGGGACTGAGCCCTGGAGTGCCAGAATGACTAATTTGGTTGGAAAGATACCCACCTGTGCTAGCCCCGCCTGCTCCTCAACCACGTTCCCCCTCCTTACGCAGAGCTTCCCTTAGGTACTGTCTCTGCTTCATATAAATCAAAGGTCTGCTCCCAAGCCAAGCCTGCGCTGCCACCCTTCATCCTCTCCCCGTAGCCTCCTTGGGTCACCCCTGGCCGGAACAACCTGGATTCTTGTAGCCCTCTCCTCCTAGGCTGGGCAGAGCTGGGCTGTGACTCACCCTCCACCCACACGGCTGCTCCTCATACCTCTGCAGACCTGACTCACTGCTCCCTGTCCCTGGCAGGAGCCTTGCTGTCACCCTGTCACTCTCTTCCTCCCCTCTCTGGTTGGCTTGCCTCTCCTGCCACAGTTTCACTATAGCTCTGGTCACTCTGAGCATCGGCCTCACCTTCTGAGTTCTGAAGGGACTTGCATCTATACCAGAGGAAACGGGACTGTGGGACTACTGACACCTGCCTTTCTTCCCTTCTCTTGGCTTTGCTGGGTGAAAGCTATTTTTCAGGTCTGGGGATCCTATCATCTAAAATGAATAACCATTACAATTTATTAAGTACCTACTGTGTTCTAGGCACTCATTATGCTATTGTGGGTTGATTAATCCTGTAACAACCCTCTGAGATTGAACTTCTGCTAGCCACTACTTATTGAGAACCCCAAGGTTCAGAGAGATTAAGCTACTTGCCCAAAATCAGAGGGCTAAAGTTGGAGCACAGGTCTGTTGACTTCAGAGCCCATTCATTGTTTCATTCCTGGTTCAACATCCCGGGTGCTCTAGACTTGTCCAGGGGAAGGGACAGAGGTGCGTGAGCAGTTTGGTATATTGGGAAAGAGCACTGGATATGGAATCCAGAGACCACATTTCTGACCTCAACCCTGCATGACCTTTACCAAATCACTGCCTTTCGGGACCTCAAGTTTTTTATCTGAAAATGGAAAGCCATGACATTCTTTCAAGTCACTTCCCACTTGAGGATGCTGGGTCTCCTGTCCAATGTATGATGCTCACCCTTGCACCAGACACATGGCTGCAGGCATGTTTTTTCTGCTGGGAGCAGGGGAGAGAGGACTGGCGTCAGACCCCTGATGGGCTAATGGGCGTAGCCCACGGTCAGTCCCAGCTGGATATCTATGTGAGGCTGCTTTTCCCCCCTTTGAAGTGTGGAAAGAATGGGGGGAGTCATCATTGTTCCAGTTCCTTCTGGATAGTTCCTTACTTTCCATCTTTCGCCCCCTTGTACACACTATACTCATCCATCCTAGAGAGCTATAAACAGGACATTTGGGGGTAAGTGTAATAGACTTTTGAGAGAAGTGGTGAGCTGCAAAGGACACAGAGCCAGGTAAATATTCTGCTTGAAGTCAAAAAAGCAAGGACCTGACCAGGGATGGCCTGCTTGCGGTCCCCAAGCCTGGCTCTGGCCTGGGCTCATGGTACCCTGGTGCTAACGGGTGTGTCAGAGGGGGCCATCTGGACGTGGACACTGTTGTTATTTTAGGAGCCCTCCCCCCCCCAAAAATCCCTCCAAGTACCTTCTCCAGAAGCAATTTTTATCTCTGACACTGTCTTCCTGCAAGTGGGTCACTGAGTGCAGCATCAGGAAATGAGGTTGATTTAAGGCCAAAATAGCACCAAGTGGGCGTGGGGGAGTAGATGGGGATGGACAGTGGGGTGGGGGCGAGGTTGGTAGAACTGCCCAGTCAGCGGCAGTTATTCAACAGAAGCTAGCATTGTTTGAATGGAGTTCTTAAACTGAGTCTGAGAAATGCTTTCCTTGGGACCCCTCTAGCCTCTGTTTCCTCCGCTGCTTTCTGGTGGTTTGGCCCAGTCTCCCTTTAGCCCTGGGGAAGCACTGAGCCTGGGAGCCTTCCCGAGTCCTCTGACTTCAGGTGGGATCAAAGAGGACGCATTCCTTCCAGACACGATGCTGTTCTGAGTCTTTCCCCCAGGAGAGTCAAAGACTTAACAGGGTCTTTTTCTCCTGCAGCTGCTTTCTCCTCCAAGCCACAGGCTCTGGCCACACCCAGCAAGGAGGAGCGTGGGAAAAAAAAGAAGAAAGGCAAGGGGTTAGGGAGGAAGAGAGACCCATGTCTTCGGAAATACAAGGACTTCTGCATCCACGGAGAATGCAAATATGTGAAGGAGCTCCGGGCTCCATCCTGCATGTAAGTGTCCCTTCCCTGGCCTGACTCTGCTCAGCACACTCTTTGTCAGTCACGTGGCTGTTCCTCGTTGTCACTGTTCCTTGAATTCATAATTCTACCCAGTTTCTTCTCAATCTTTAGGCGGAAGTTGGGAGGAGGGGAAATATTTTTAGTCAGCGGAAGGGGCTCTCCCCCGCATGGGATGTAATTTCCTGTGGTGTAGGTTTGTGACGCTCTTTCATCCTTGGGGACATTTCCTGCTTGCTCAGACATGAACATGTGGCTAGGAGAGCTGATACCTGCAGGCAGGTCCTTCAGTCCTACCTCATGCCCTACTCCAGATGGGAGAAGCCGGTAGGACACATGGCAGAGTAGGCTTCCGGGTTGGAGCAGATCTCCTGGGACCTCCTCTCCCAAGCCCTGCAGGCAGGTATGAGGTGCATTTGGACTGACACTGTGCAGATGTGTGTGCTCGGACATATGTGCGCTCATATGAGAGCACATTGCGGGTTAATTCAAAGGCATGGCAGGACTAACCAGAAAGGAATCATCATGGAAGCAGGGAGAAGCCCCTTCGTCTCTTCTTCCTCATCCCAGCAAGGGCCAGGACATGGGGGAACATAGTGGGTATTGGCCTTTGGCCATGGGATTGGGAGAACACTTCCTTTGTGCAAGATTAACAGGAAATGGAACCCAACCCAGTAGGCATCAGCCCCTGGTCAGGCAGCACCACCCTTTCCCTGGGTGGAGGGGCCGTGGGTTCCCCAGCTACTCTGCTAAGCCAAGCCCAGCAGACGGCTGCCTTGGTACCCCCTCAGGGATGATGGCGCCGCCATGCTCTCTGGCAGGCATAATGTCGCCACTGTGCCTGAGGCCAACACCCACATTTACTACAAACATCCGCTCTCTTCCTCGGGGCACAAGGTCCCTATAGAGAGACAGGCTTTGTGACCTGGGAGACTCTGGACAGGGCCAGGAGACTATTAGGTGGGTACCACCTCTCAACCTGTCCAGAAGGCTGGCTGCCTGGCATCTCTTCTACTGTGATTGGTACCGATCCCTTGGCTTTTTAAGTCTTCCTTGTCCTGACTGATCTGACGTAGCAAAGCTACCCTGTATTTGGCAACTGGCAGACAGACCCATCACTCTCTACCATGTCCAAGATCACTTGTGTGTCCTCCCCTATAACATCCTTGTCAGGAGCTTGGTATTAGAGGGAGTTGCTTTAGAGTAACATAGACAGTCCCCATATTATTCTTCCCAAGGTCTTGGGATAGGGTGGGAAATGTTTGTCTTAAATTTGTAAAATGCCATCATTGGCACAGGATGGAGGCAGTGACTATGAGGGTAGTCAAGATGGATTGAGGCCAGGAATCTGTCTAGTCCAGGGCTTTGGCGGACGGACTTCGACTGCTTAGCTGAGAACCTTTGTAAGGGTGCCATCCTGGAGAGCCGGGCCTGACCCACCAGTGAAAGCCGATAGATAAGGGTGCATAGGGCCAAGGTGGTCCTAGGGATAGTGATGATAACCATGATGATGCCTTCTCTCCTTCGCCCCATAACTTCACAATTAACCTTTAAAGTGAGCTGAGCCCCACGGGTACGGGTTCAGTACCTACCTGGTGCCAACTATTCTAGGGAATGGGCAATTATAGTCATGTCCTGGGATTCTCAAAAGCCCTAGACGGGGGTTGGCAGGGCTTGCTATCTCTAGTTTAAAGGTGAGAAAACTAGAGCCAGGAAGTAGGAAGTGATTTGCCTGAGATCAACAGCTAAATAAATGGATGGAAACACAACAAGGATTCAGGTGCCGGACTTCCGGTCCAGCACACTTTTCATGCCCCCAGGCTGTCCTGGGTGTTGGCTTGCGTCCTTCTTCCTTCTCTGTCCTTACAAAGTTTGAATAGGATTTTACAGAGGATAGCCGTTAGATTCGAGGTCTCTTAAGGCTTTTCGTAGCATAGCAATCTGATTTGAAGACTTCGTCTCTGCTTCCTAGGCAGATTTTCTAGGGGCTGGATTCTGTGTCCGCTTTGGCCACCTCCTGCCTCCGGCCTTTGGAACTCAGGGCAGAAAGCAGCAAGAAGACACAGAGCTCCTGGTGTGGGGAAATGTGATATCTAGTCACCTGCGTTTGGGGCCCTTTGTTGCTCCTCCTTCCTCTAGACCCGGGAGCCACCAGCTGGAGTGTGTCCAGGCTGCCCTGAGGAGCTTGAGGCTAGCTGGCTTCCTAAACCAGTCCTCCACAGCCACCATACCCAGGAAAACCCTTTTGTGTCACCAGCCAAAAGTTGCCCTCAAAGAGCAGTTTCCTAGGGCTTCTGACTGGCTGCTGACCCAGAAACTGGCTGCAAAGTTTCCTGTGGCCGGAGGAAACCTGGAGGCAGTCAGGCTGAGGAGAACTTAGCTGGAAGAGAGACAGGCGTGGGGCCTTCCCTTGGCCTCACTGGCCAGATGCTGAGAAGGAACGGTGAGCCCCCTTCTCTTTGGCTCCATCGGACTTCGGTGCCCCATTCCTCAGGGCATTACCCTCTGGAGTCCTATTATATAATCACTCACACATATGTGGGACTTGGGCTTTTGTTAAGGGCTGTTAAGTGTAGTATCTCATTTGATCTTCAAAATACTCTCGTGAAATAGGTATTTATTATTCCTGTGTTTTACATGAGTAAACCCAAGCTTGGAAAGGTAAAAGTAACTTGCTCAAGATCACCTGGCTAGAAATAGCAGCAAGACATGAGGTAGGGGTGGAGAAACCCAGTTTGGAAGATGTCTCTGGACCCTAGAGGGTTCTTCCTTCCATTGTAATACTAACACAAGTTCTGAAATGGGTCACAAACATCAGTAGGAGGAACACGTTCCAGTTTGGTGGGTTGCTGGCTCTGAGCAAGATACATGATCTTGCCCCCACCCGGGATGCTTGGAATGGGCTCATCCCCCCTCCTTCCCTGGGGAAGACAGGAGTCATCTGCAAAGGGAGGGGGAGGTGGGTAATATTAGGATGTTTACATTATTATCCTTTTGACTCAGGGTGGGGGTGGAGGGATTATGTAACTGAATTGCGGGACTCTGAGACCAAGCTTTATTTCTATCATCTGAGTAACTACCTGTGGGGTTTGAGTGACGGCTGGAAGTGAAAAACAGCCTCAGCTTCACTTCCCTTCCCCCACCCACCCCCCCACCCCACCGCAGGACAGCATAGTCTCTGAAGTCATCTGGACTGCTGGGTTGAATCCTGGCTCTACCTCTCACTAGCTGCATAACCTTGGGTGAATTAGCTAAGAACTTAAGCCTCAGTCTCTCCATCTTTGAAATGGGGATAGTAACTCCTACTCCACAGAGATGTTTTTAAGATTAATTAAAATGATTCTTGTAAAGCAATTAGCACAGAGTACCTGGCTCACAGTAAGCCTTTAATGTTTGCTATTTATTATTCAAATTAATAATAATAAGTCAAAGAGCAAGGTCAGACAATCCCAGGAACCTATCACTTCATCAGATACGTGTTTCCTGGGGGTAATCTGTGCTGTTCCGAGTGGAAAGAATCATGAATTTGGAATCTGCTTGGACTGGTTTCCAGTCTTAGCCTTGCTGCTTCTTAGTTATGCTACTTTTGGTAAATCACATCCTCTGATTGTTAATCTTAGTCTTTCAATCTGTAAAATGGGGCTGTACCTGCCTACCAGATGTTATGAGCCTCAGTTGAGCTAGCAGATAAGGATAGTACCTTCTAAACTGTTAACTGCTGTGCATAAGTGATTTTCCAGGGGCACTCCTGAGAGCTTCCTCCAGAGCCTGCCAGGATGGGGGTCGTTGTTTTGCCCACCTTGGCTGATGGGTTCATGGAGAGGCTGGGCATGGAGCCGTGTGTCCTGCTGTGTATATATGGGACTGACCCACATTTATCCTACAGTGAGGTGGTTCCCCAAAGCACCCAGGAGGAGCTGAGGCAGGGAGAGGTGCTCGGCACTCAGCAGGGGCGGCCTGGCCCCCCTGCTGCTGCCAGGTCTGGATAGGTCCGCTTCTGGGGTGCCTCTCAGCAAGAAGAAGGGATTCCTTGCTCTGAGGTACCTACCACATGCACAACCTGCTTCCCAGAGGAGGCACAGCTCAGAATAGAGGGCCGCCAGGTTCTCGGTGCTTCCATCAGCAAGCTAGTGGCCCAAAGTCCCCAGGCAGACAGTGCCAGTGCGCTTGTGGGTGTAATTGGGGAGCCCACTGAGCTCAGAGTCAGATAAACCGAGACCACACTTCTGCTCTGCTGAGTGACCATGGGGAGGATAGCTCTGGCTTTTCTGTAACGTGGGGGCTGCCACCTGCATCAAAGGGCCTCTCGGGTGCTCAGATACAGGAAGGGACATGAATGTGCTTGTTCAACTGAAAGGGTTTCCCAGTCTTCCTAAGAGCTTCGAGGAAATGCTTTATGTTAGAAGAGGCATTTGCCGTCTGATTGATTTCTTGGGTGTGAAAAGCCGGAGTGTTGTTTGACATTTTTCCATGCTCTGGCAAGACAGCTGAGCAAGAAGTTACCTTGTTTTTGTTTTTTTTTGCTTTGTCCTATGATGGAGGAGGCCAGATAGCCCAGGGTTCAGAGGCCAAAAGTTGATGTGAAGCTCTCAAATTGGGCCCTGCACCCAGAGGGAGCTGGGAGTTAAATGAAAGGAACTTGAGAAAAATGACTCCTGGCAAAGGAACAGGACCTATTAATAGGATGGGCCGTGGCTGAGAGGGACTGAGGGCTGGAAGCCGTGGTGGAGAAGCCTGGGTTTATTTCTGGGTCAGAGTTAAGGGGCCTCACCAGAGGGAGTGATACCCAGTCCCCTCAACTCAACCCGCCAGCTCACGGACCTAAGTCTTCTGAGGGGCTTAAACAGCATGTCTTAATACACATGTAATAAATCATCCACACATGGAACATATGTAGCTTGGACCTTGAAGTCCTCTCTCACTTTTTCCCCCTCCTGGAGTGGGAATCTTGGGCCAGAGAACCAGAGGGAATGGAGAGGAGGGCAAAGGGTGGGAAGGAAAGCCACAGAGCCTTCAGAGCGGCTTCTCAGGAGTCTTCTCCTAGACTCCTTCTAGAAGGATAGAGGAAGGGTGGGGATCACGGCCAGGGACTGATAGGCTGAGGCCGTGAGGACTGCGATCTGGCTTAGGCAGGAGGACCATTGCCTGTAGAGAGAGGCCAAACCACTAACCTCATCTTTGCTTTGTCCCGTCTGGAACCAGCTGCGAGCCCGGTTACCACGGAGAGAGGTGCCATGGGCTGAGCCTCCCAGTGGAAAATCGCTTATATACTTATGACCATACAACCATCCTGGCTGTGGTGGCCGTGGTGCTGTCGTCTGTCTGTCTGCTTGTCATCGCGGGGCTTCTCATGTTTCGGTGAGTATTGGGGCCCCCTGCAGGCTGTTTCTGCAAATCACTCCCATTCCTCCTCCAGCTGGGTCTTCTGCCTGTGATCCTATGAGCCCTTCAACCTCCCAGTTTCCAGGCTAGGAATCTGACCGACATTCCTGAGCCCAGGTTCTCTAGGAACCCAGCTTGTCTGGCCTGACATGAGTCCAGGGGTCCAGAGCCCAGGGCAAAGATTGCCACGTCATAGCAGGTCCTGCTTTCCACAGCAGGCCTAGTAACCCACCCACGGGTCTACCCCTTCACACAGTTCTTTCCCTTTGCTCTGTTCTTTGATGGCATCAGTGTATGGTTTGATAGACAAAGCACGGCTGGTGTATGGCTATTGGTTTATCCTTTCAGTTCTGAGGCATCTCACCCTCAGGCCGTGGTTCCAGTCCAGGTTATGTTCTAGACTGGGGGACACCTACCAAACCCTCTGCCCATTTCCAAGCCGTGCAATTCGTCTGTTGTGAGATCTGGACCAAGTTACCTGTCTCTCTGAGGGCTATCATCTTACAGTGATTGTAATCTGTCTACCTACCTCATAAGGATATTGTGAGGATATGTAAACAAGGTCAAAGTTCTCAGCAAATTATAGCCTGCTGTTAGAGACAGGCATTCCTTGGGGTAGTTGGGCCTTTGACCAGAGGTCTGCTGGGCTGCCATCCCATCTTGGCTTTTCCAAGTAATGGAGGGAACCATCATGGCAGGGTCCTTTAGAAGGACCTTCTCTGAGACCTGCACCCTGTCATATCAGGCAGAGCTTGCTCACAAAACTTGTCTCCTTCAGGTACCATAGGAGAGGAGGTTATGATGTGGAAAGTGAAGAGAAAGTGAAGTTGGGCATGACTACTTCCCACTGAGAGAGACCTGTGCTCAAGGTAATGGTCCATCCTTTGCCCCATGACGCTATCACCATCTTCCCTTCAAGGCATTCTGAATTCTTCTCTCAACCTAGGGGTTGGGGGCAGGTGACTATGGAGTCAGGGTTCCATTGCAGAATGGTTTGCAAAAAGGTTTTCAGTGGGCCATCTCCACTAGGGGTGACAGTTGCTAGAGAAACACCCGAGAGAGATGCCTAAGACAACAGCTTCTCCTATCCTTGTCCCCTCTTCTGCCCATTCCCAGAAGCCCTTCCTACTTCCTAAGACTGGACCTGGGAAACTCTTAAGTCCTCCTAAGACTGGCTCCAGCTTTAAATGCCTTCCTTTTGCGCTTTAGGAATCTGCGGGGGCACTGCTACCTCTGAAAAGGCACAGCCGATCGTAGACTCTGCAGAGGGAAAGCACGTCACAGCTCGTCAGGGAGACTCCTTCGTTCCCAGTTGCTATCTAGATTGGGCCTCCCATAATCTGGTATTTTTGCCAAAATACCAGAGCCTTCAAGTGCCAAACGGAATATGTCAAAATGGGATCTTGGTGAGAAGAAAACAAGAGTGAAAGACCTTCCTGCCCTTCTCATTCCCCTCCTCCAAACTCCACGTCCCCTCATAAGTGTGTTTAAACGATTAACTTCTGGATTCAGATGCCAGTTATATTCCATATGCTCCAGGATCTTTGACTGATAAAAAAGAAGGAGAGGAAGAAGGAAAGCTTTGTGGGTTGGCAGACAGTAACAAAGATCGAGAAGCCGTGTACTCAAGTAGCCACCAAGGGATCTGCCATTTGGACCCTCTAGCGCTGGATTTGATGAGCTAACTGTGAAATACCACAAGCCCGAGAACTCTGAATTTTGGGACTTCGACCCAGATGGAAAAATAACAACTATTTTTTGTTTGTTTGTTTGTAAAACGCCTCTTAAATTATATATTTATTTTATTCTATGTATGTTAATTTATTTAGTTTTTAACAATCTAACAATAATATTTCAAGTGCCTAGTCTGTTACTTTGGCGATTTCCTGGCCCTCGACCTTGTATGCCCCGCCATCTGGCTCAGCGCCGCACCCCTCTGCCACAACGCCGAGATGGTTCTGTGACCCGTCTGTAGTAATCTGTTCTCTGTCCACATGTCTGAAGATCTTTCACACTCACAGTGCCGCAGGGGGAGGTCAGTAGAGTCAGGATATAGGAGTTAACTTTGTCAGATCCACTCTATGAGTTGGACTGTGGTCTTGCCTAGGCGATTTTGTCTACCGTTTGTGTTTTGAAAGCCCACGGTGCCGATGTCCAAGCGTAACAGATATTGGTGTTTGCCTATGTCCTCTCCCTGCCAAATCTCATAAGAGGTTGGGCTTCCATGCCCGCGGCTTTCCTGGCTCCTCAACCCCCGTGGCCCCAGGCCCACAGAGTGGGAACTCCCTCCTCCCTGCGTCATGACATTTCCCTTACTCCGCCATTCTTCTGGTGCTACTCCATGCAGGGGTCAGTGCAGCAGAGGATAGTCTAGAAAAGGTATTAGCAAAGAAAAAGGCTGAGGAGGAGCAGGAAACATTGGAGCCGACTGTTCTTGTTAACTGATGACCTACCGATTACTACAGAGTTTGGAGGTGAGGAGGGCTTTTGTGGAAACCCACCCACCTCACCGAACACTAAAAAGGTATGCTGTCATGGTCCCTTCTGGAAGTTTCTGGTGCCATTTCTGAACTGTTACAACCTGTATTTCCAAACCTGGTTCATATTTATATTTTGCAACTCAAATAAAGATAACCCTTACTCCACAGACTTCTGTCTGCTTGTTTTATCTGGGAACTGGTTTAACATAGATGGTTCCTAAGCCCTGACTCGATATTAGGTTCTATGCCAGGCCTTTTTATGCACACTATCTCAATATCCCTGACAACAGTGTGATGGAGGTACTATCATCATCCCACTTTTCCAGAGGAGAAAGCTGAGGCTCAGAGAGGTTATGTGACTTACCTGAAGATACACAGTTGGTAAGTGACAGAGCTGGGACTGGCAGTCTGACTGCAATTATTTGTCTTAATATTTATATCATACCACCTCTGAGACACCAGAAAATAAACCTCTCACATAGGAATTTTGGCTGGCTGTAATCAGGAATGACGTCCACCCATTCAATCAATAGACTCTGGACTCGGGACCTGGTCGTGTGCTATATTTGCAATGAGGCATTGCCCCTGGTGGAAACAGGGCACCTTTGACTTCCCTCTCATGCTCTACAATGCATCTGTCAGCAAACCTTGTCACTCCTACCTTTCGAATATATGCTGAATGCAGCCACTTCTGATCAGTCCCCCTACCATCACCCCGGTCCAATTCACCATCATCTCTGGCTCGAACTCTTCTGACGGCCGCCTGTCTCCTTTCTTCCCCCTTGCTCTCGTATAGCCCATTTCTAACATAGTAGCCAGAGCGATCATATAAAACATAATCCAGCTCTTGTCTGCCTTGCAGGCTTTCCCCGACCAACCTATTAGACAACAGCACATTCCTGACCCACCCTGTTCTTCTTAGTCTCCCTACATTGCTTTCTTTTCCACCAGACCCCTTCTCACCACTAACATATTCTTCTCTGTTGATTGTCTAGCTCTTCCTGCTAGAATGTTGGCTTCATGAAGGTAGGGGTGTGTATGTTACCCCAATCCCAGATTGTAGGCATTCGATATTTGTCATATGGATGAATGAATATAAGAAATGACTAAAATCTGGTCAAGGGCCAGCAAGTGGACAGGTATGTAATCAGGTGCTGCCGTGGAAATGTGGTTGGGTTTAAAGAAGGGCCTCTGTTGGGGAGGGTGGGGGGGGGTGACAGGATAAAAGGGGAATGTGGGACAGATCATCTGGCCACGCTGTCCTTGGTAGATTGGAGGCAGAGAGATCCATTGGGAGGTCATTGGACAAGTGCCATTGGACTGCCCTCTCCTCATCCTCTTTTCTTAGAGAGTTGTGAGACTCTAAAATTTCTCCAGGAGCCCCCTTATATATACCTTTTTTTTTTTGGAAAGATTTTATTTATTTATTTGACAGAGAGAGAGAGAGCACAAGCAGGGGGAGCGACAGACGGAGAGGAAGAAGCAGGCTCCCCACAGAGCAGGGAGCCTGAGGTGGGGCTCGATCCCAGGACCCTGGGATCACCACCTGAGCTGAAGGCAGACGCTTAACTGACTGAGTCACTCAGGTGCCCCAGATCTTATATATACTTTGAATATGCTTTTAAAACTTTGGAGACTAATAACTACTGGAGCTGAACATGTGCACATCCTATAACCTAGCAATTCCACTCCTAGGGATATACGCAAGAGAAATGAATATATATATTTACCAGAAGACATATACAAGAGTGATCTTAGCATTACTTACAATAATTAAAGACTGGAAACTACCCCAAAACCCATCACTACTTGACAATGAAATGAATAAATAAATAGTGGTACAACCACGCAATGAAATACTAAATAGCAATATGGATGAATCTTACAACATAATGCTGAGTGATAAAAGCCAGACACAAAAGGGTACATTCTTTTTTTTTTTTTTAAGATTTTTTTAATTTATTTGACAGAGAGAGCGAGAGAGCACAAGTAGGGGGAACAGTAGAGGGAGAGGGAGAAGCAGGGTCCCTGTCAAGCAGGGAGCCTGATGCAGGGCTCGATCCTAGGACCCTAGGATTGTGACCTGAGCCAAAGGCAGACGCTTAACCACTGAGCCACAAAACGGTACATTCTATGTGATTCTATTTATTTAAAATTTTAAAACTGGGGGCTCCTGGGTGGCTCAGGCAGCTAAGAATCCAATTCTTTGCGGCTCAGGTCATGATCTCAGGGTCGCAGGATGGAGCCCAGCCTTGGTTCTGCGCTCCCCCCAGAGTCTGCTTGAGATTCTCTCTCTCTCTCCTTCTCCCTGGGCCCCTCCCTCCCCACTCGTGCACTCTCTCTCTCTCTTTCTAAAATAAATAAAATCTTTAAAAAGTTTTCTTAAAATAAAATTTTAAAACAGGTAAAACTAATCAATGGTGAAAGAAATCAGAAAAGAAATCCCTGTTGGGATCAGTAGTGACTGGAAGGGGGCAAAACAGGGCGACTTCCTGTGCTCTGATGAACGTTATGTTCCACATTCTGGGTGCTGGCGACCTGGGAGTATTCACTTTGAGAAAATTCATCGAGAGTGGTTTGTGCATTTCTCTGTATGTATTCAACTACAATAAAAAGAGTTTTCAAAACTTGGATTGGGAACTCTTTTGCTTTTTGCATTATATAAAGCTCTATAAAGTACCAGTATATTACTTTGGTAATCGGAGAAAATAGTACAGATGTCAGTGAGGTACTTTGAACTCTTCGCCGGGCTCTGTCTCCGGCTCCTATCTTGCACCAGGCTCAGCTTTTCAAACACACTTTGTTTCTCCAGCTAATGTTTCCTGCGGCCTCTGGGCTTCCTGCCTTTCAGGGGCTCTCTCCTGACACTGCTGCTGTTGGGAGCCCCTCCCCGCACCCCCCCACCCCCCCCCCCCCCCCCCCCCCCCCCCCCCCCCCCCCCCCCGCCGCGCCGGGCATCTCCTTGGCTGATATGGTGGCTCTGGGAGCCTCTGAACTTGCAGCCACTTGTCAAGACTGGCTAGTGGTAATCCGGCCTTCCTGTGCACTGACAAGCACCTACCTCTTCTCTGATGGGCTTCCCTTTGGCCCCTTTGCCATACTTTCTTTTATAATGTTCATCGTAATCATTATTAGGCTAATAATCAAATAAACATTTGATAGTCATGGAGTGCTCACTAAGCTGGTCCCCACATTCTACAGGCATCACCTCAGTTGTGTCTTGTGATGACCTAGGAGGTAGGTGCTCTGGCTACCCAAGTTGTGGATGCCTTAGATGAGTGGTAAAGTCCAGCTGTTAACTTGGAAGCTTAACCCCCAAGCCTTCACTCTAACCACTAAGTTACCTTCCCAAATGAGTTCTTCGGGCCAGACTTGTTTTCTCTTCCTCTCCTGTTCATCCAGAAAAAACACTACAGTGAGGCGCTCATATGAAAGGGATCTTAGAAAGCAACTCCTCAGAGCCCAGGAGTTTCCTCCCCAGGCCCACCCCACCCCCACCACCATTTACAAATTCATGGGAGAAGATGTGAGGTGCCTTATCAGCGTACAGGGGAAGGAACAGGAGGGCAGGCTGACAGGATCCTGGGTCCGCTGTTTATCAGGGAGTGCCCTCCTGCCTGATACCTGACCTCTCTGACCTTGTCTCCCTGCCTATAAAAGAGATACTAAATACATCCACCTGCGGAGTTGCAAAAATTATATCTTCGAAGAAAGTGCCTCGCTCAGGGCCAGGCACATGCTAGATACTCAGTAAATGTTGGTGATCTTTAGCAACTTGTCTGAGGGATTAATTAGAAGGCACACTGGGACTTCCTAGTCCACAATTTTTTTCCTCAGACACAAACAATGCTTCTCAATCGGTGTTTTACATTTTAATGTCAACTGTGGTTTCAAAGGAGCTTTAAAGGGTCTTAATAAATATTTGTGGGCTTAAGAAGCCGGGGAACAGCAACTCTGTCCAAATATATCACTTCAACTTGGCTGGCCTGAAATTCTTCCCTTTGTCAACAATGCCTGAAATTCAAGCTTCCTGTTTGAGAATGCTAATACTTCTGGGAATAGCTAAGCATCAAGAGGCTGGGATTCTTTGTTGGTGTAATTCATTTTAGCTTCATTCATTCAGCAAATATTTGTGGAGGCCTCCCTATCACCTTCCAAATTAAATCCATGCTCTGAAGGAGAGGGCATTTTGATGGAGCGAGAGCGGGGGAAGAAAAGAAAGAGAAGTACTTTGGAGTAAGGGCATTCATTCACTCATCCACAAAATTGAGTGAGCACTTATAATGTGCCAAGTATTATTCTTATCACTGGAGAACAGCGGCGAGACTGACACATGGACCAACAATACATGTATAAATAAAGAAATAGGATAACTTCAGAAATAAGTGACCCATACAAAAGGGTGATGTGCTGAAAAGTCATTGGGGGCAGAATTTATATAGGCAGCTCAAGGAAGGTCCCTCTGAGGAGGTAACACCTGATCAGAGACAAGATGAGATTAGGCATATGAAGGCCCTGAGACGAAAATAAGCATAGTTTGTATGAAGGACAGAAAGGGACCCCTGAGCTGCAGCATAGTCATTGAAAGTTGAAGAGGGAGGCAAGGCCCAGATCATGTAGGGCCTTGTAGACCATGGTGAACAGTTTGAAAGCCAATGGAGTCTTTTGAACGGGAGAGTGATATGATTTGATTTATGTTTTGCAAATACGACTCTGATATGCACAGAGGGGCTCCTAGGGGGCAAAAGCAGAAGAAGCAAGACCAGTTAGGAGGCCTTTGCAGTCATCCAGGCAAGACATGCTGGTGGCCAGGAATACAGTGGTAGGAGAGGTGGTGGTGAGAAATGGGCAGATTCAGGATATGTTTTGGAGGAATCACCGGTAAGATACACAGATGGATGGAATGTGGGCTTTATGAGAAAAGATGAATCAAAGATCACTTCTTGGATTTTAACCTGAGAAACTGGGTAAACAATGGTTCTATTCATCAAAATGGGAAGGAATAGGCGAGGAGTTCATGGAGGCCATAGAAATAAACATTCTTTCGTGGACGTATTAAGTCTATATGGCGTGAAGGAGGGCACTGGAGAGAGGGCAATGAGAGGAAGGGGGAGGCAAGGAGGGAAAAAAAAGAGGTAAAAGTGTAAATAAGAAGGACCTGAAGG